CCCTGATCCAAAATGATTGGCATCCTCATAAAAAAGGGAAATTTGGACACAGAGACAGACACACACACAGGAAAAACACCATATGAAGATGAAGACAGGCATTGGGGCGACACAGCTACAGGTCAAGGAAAGTCAAAGATTGCGGGCAAACCACTAGCAGCTAGGAGAGAGGCCTGGAACAGATTCTCCCATAGCTCTCAGAAGGAACCAACCCTGCTGACACCTTGATCACAGACTTCCAGCCTCCAGAACTGTGAGACCATAGACCTCTGTTATTGAAGCCAGCCAGTTTGTGGAACTTTGTTATGGCAGCCCTGGGAAACTGACACATCCCCCACAGCTTTAGAATGAAGGTTGAGTTCCCAGGCTTCACACACTGTGCCCCCTGAGGTCAGACACTTGAGTAACAGTCCATCCCCCATGTGCCAGTCAGACCAAACTCCTTGCACTTGTTGGATAGGGCCATTCCCTTGAACACTCTTGCCCTCACTCTTGCTTGGCTGACGCCTACTCATCTGTAAGACCCAGTTCACACACTGCAACCTCCTGACAGCCTTCACTGACCTCCTGTCTAGCTGAAGCATTGTGCATGCACCCACCACTGCATTTGTCACACCTTATTCTGATTGACAGATCTGTCTCCTCTCTTAACCAGGAGCTCCTAGTGAGCAAGGATAGTGAGTCTTGAGTACTGGCGATGAACCCCCAGTTAACAACATACACCTCCCTCAGTCTGCACCTTAAGATTCTAAGGATGGTTTTTACAATGTAACCACAGGACAAATAACAGCTGCTTTTCCTTTAATGTGAATGAATGAGGTATGTATTCTTCCAAGTTTAGATCAGGCAAATGAAAATCAAGGGGAAATATTCTGATATTAGAGTTACTATTATTTCTCCTATTAAACAAGAGGCATCCACAATTATTCTACTTTTTTTTCCCAGCAGAAAAAGAGTGCTCACTGATTTTTATGAAAATAAAATCCCCATAGAATTTGATAGTCTGTAAGTACTTGTCTTCGTGGATGGAGGCAGAGCACCCAAGGCAGAGATATTTTCTGATGCTGCACTGCTGGGTCTGCATCAGGAGAAGGGGACAGGGAATGCCTGAGTGGGTTGACTTACCCAATGACCCAGATCACTTTGCACAGAGAGCTGAGAATGTTCCTAAGAGAGAAAACTCAGAACACAAAAGCTGTTTTCCCACTGGTGTGAGTGCCCTGTCCCGACCCACCCTTTCTCCCTTCCATCTCCAATCCTCAAAACATTTTCAATCTTCAGGCCAGTGGTCAACCAGATATGTACAAAAGATGGAGCCAGACAGGATTTAAAAAAGTAACCTGTATTCCAGCCAAAATATCTTTAAAAAGAAATCCCTTCTAAAGGGGAGACAAACTACATAAGACACAATACACTTAAAATATGTATTGAAATTACAAATCAAACTTTTCCATATGATTCCAAAGTACAAAACACAACATTAAAAGGCATCCAAACAGCTCTTTTATACATCACAGTGTTAGTGGCACAAAATGTACTGACATTTCAAAAACACAAACCAAGCTTGTTTTGTTTTTTTACCACCACTCGTCAAATATATCACGTATACATGTGCATGACTCATTCATGCATGTTTTTATACAAAGTTAAAATACACCCATGGTAAAATGAGCAAAGAATGAAGGAATAGTCCGGCATGTGGCAGGGACCTACTCCTAACTGAAGGCTCCTGGAACTGTGGAAGACAGGATTATACAAATCAGTGGAAGGAAGGCGGCCATGGGGCTTGATACAAAAACAGCATGCTCTCCTACTTCTGATGCATTAGCAATTATATTTTAACGCAGGACCTTTTGTTCCATTTGGCGTTTTTGGCAATACCAGTCATAATCTCTTCATTTTGTTTATTTTCATCAGGGGTTGGGTTTATTATAAGGAATAGACAAGCTTTGGTATTTTTTTAAAGAGACCTCCACGAAGCTTTATACATGCAAAATGTTTTCCCTTGATGAAATCACTATGATTTATATACACAGGAGTATTTATTAATAAATGAGAATCTGAGAAATATACAAAAAAGCTCACCCTGGTTCTTTCCAATCTCCTAATTTTTAAAGACTACTAAGGGAAAACGTCCTCTTCTAATTTTTTAAATAACTTTCAACTTTTATAATGTAGGTGAAAAAGGATAAACTCATCTTGGAGTATTTTTTGCATATCTGATAATCCCTTTCCCCATGGGCCCTGTATTCTAATCAGAAATTGGCCTGGTTCCTAAACTGGTTTTATGGAATAATATGCTGTAAAGAGAACTTGTCCCCCTTTAAAAAGATGCCAGAGGTGGCAGGTGTTGGTTCCTTGGTCTGCAGCTACTCCTGGGGCTCAGGAAGAACTGGCCCGGACAGCAATTCGTGCAGTCAGGTTTGTTTATGCTCAGATCCTAGTCAGTCTCTGCTGCGTGGACATCTACGACTCCTCTGAAGGTGCTGGCCTCAGGTGACGACTGCAAAGCTCAGTTGGCTGGGCTACAGGCACATGACAGAGCCAGACTGAGATCAGGCACGTCCAGGAAAACCTCACAATGGGTCAGTTACCAAAGGGACTCAGATAACCTACAGATCAGTCGTGCCCTCCATTGTCACCCCAACCGGACAGCAGTAGAGTCAGCCAGAGTCCATCTGGAAGGGTCTTCTTCTCTCCTCCCCAGGATTTAAAGGCCTCTAAATGAATGAACAGACATGTGCTTCCAGAAGGTCAGCATGAAAATCATGTGTAAAAGTGAAACTCATTTTCAATTAAAACAAACTGTGCTGAGTAACTGGAAGGAGTCCACCTCCTAAGTGTAGAACTCCTCAGGTTTCACTTTCAGGGAGTGAGAGCAAGGTCAAAATCCAAAACACGGCCATCTTCCCGTGTTCTACTGACACTTTACATCAAGCATGCTTAATATCACATCCCCATGAACAATGGGTATAGCATTCCTTACTGAAAAAAGGAGTCGGGCGGGGGAGTTGCAAGTTTATGGAAGGATCTCAATGTGATCCTGCTGGTGTCTTTCTAGGGAATGGACAGTTTTAGTTTTGTTATTACTAAACCGGACTGAGCAAACTGAGGCATGCTTGATGCAAAAACTCAGAGCAAGTAGGTGCTGCTTCGGCCCCAGCCAGCCCCAGAATCTCTGTGGTCCCTACTGGGTCAAACCACGTGCTTGTGATACGTGTCAGAGGTGAAGGCACAAGGACAGTTGGGGCTATGCATGTGCGTGATTTGGCCATGGATTCCTCCAGGATAGACAGACAGCCTGACTCACTAGGAATGAAGGGATCTGAACTTTAGCTCAGGGAATGTAACCTTCCTGAAGGCTCTGGCTCCCACCCCAAAGGAAAGGGCTACCACTGTATGGACTTCTGCAGTGTGCAGTGGGCAGCAGCTGTTCAGGCAGGATGGACTAGGATGGGGTGGAAGCCTTCCCAGTGGACCACCCATACCCATTTTAAAGGGAACTGGCTAGATAAGTGCATTCACAAATCCCAGTATGAGGCCTCAAGCCCGGGCCACCAACGTCATCTTCAGGCCTCATGGAGTTGTCTCTGTCTCCAGAAAAGCCATTCGACCACCAGACCCTATGGCAACATCCCCAGCTACAGAGACTCACTGCCCAGGCTTCATCCAGAAAAATAGTCTCAGGCATGTTCTTATTTAGTTACTGAATTTTTAAACTGCAATTATAAGGAGAAATTTTTGAACATAATTTTGACACAGACTGGTTTCCTAAATGGCTTCAGTTTCACAAAGAAAATAAACACTAGAGGTGAAGAGTGAGGTGATGCTGTTTCTCCTAACCTATCAATGTTAAGAAATAAAGACAACTTTTCTAGAGGGGAAGGGAAACCCGGACCTGAGACAGATACACAATGTAGAAGGCAAAGAGACAAAACACCACCACATTTTACAAAGGTGCTTGCAACAAGCAAATACGTGTGATAAAAGTCAGACTTTGTTTTCATTTTACTCCTTTCTGGAATGCTTTGTAAGTTTTAAAAAGTTCCGCTATAATAAATCTACATCCGTCTTTCGACTATTTTTAGAAGTCCCAAGTTCGAGGCAATCAGTTTGCTCTTTACAAGCACATTCGGCTTTAGAAGCCATATCAAAGTCAACTGTCAAGAATACACTTTCCCCACCTTTGAGAGTTAACTGATGAGTAACGTGTGTCTCACTGATCTCTGCATTCTGCTACCATGGTAACAGGCACACACAGCCTGTGACAGACCGAGTGGTAAAATCCTCCATCAAATTAACCAAGTGAAAGGGAAGGTTTTTTCAGCAGGGGCAATTGGTCAGCAACAGGAGTTGGAACTGTGTACAATAATGATTTCTCCAAAATAACTCAGTCATTTAAAGAACTGTGAAAATCCAGGAAGCTCTCCCCCAAACCCCAGGAGCCCTCCAGCCCTGCCAGGAGACCCTGCTTCTGAGGATCAATAGCACTATTCCCTTCTTACTGTCTGCTTGGGGAGACTGAGGCAAGCGGCCAAACCATAGTGATTCCCAATAGAACTATTTCCAGGTAAAACATCTGGTTTCTGAATACGCTAAAAAATATGTGCTGATACCTGGGTGAGAAGAGAGAACCCCATGAGCTGAGCTGAATCACCAAAGAGAGAAAAAACAAAAGGCAAATCTAATGATGGAGATGCTCCTTTAAACACGTCAGTATTCTCAAAGAAATGCAAAGACAGAGGAACCATGTTTATAACAGGACGCAGCTTACAGCATTCAAAAAGGCATTACAAGTTTCAAGAAAAACACATAGAGCGCATAAGGCTTTCTAAATCTCCTGAAAAGTGGCCGAGCCAGAAAAGTCGTTTAACGATAACTTCTTAAAATGCACATTTCAAGAAAGGCATAGGATGGTTTAAATGCACCTTGTTGATTTTTCACTAATCAGTTGGAAAAAAAAAAAAAAAAACACCTTCTAAAAAGGATTTTACTAAATGCCATTAGTAATAAAAACAATTGTCATAAACAGAGTGCTTTTCTCAAGTCCAAATAACCGGATTTTGTCTGAAGTGAGTTGCAATCCTTAAAAGACTTCTCTCAGTAACATGGCGCCATCTTGAAGCCAAGGAGGAGATGGACAACATTTTGTACAAGAAGGTCTCTTAAGCAACCACCAGACGTTCCTAGTCTATCACCACGGGGAGAAAACTGCCCAGTGTGCTTCATATAGCACCTCCCTTGTCAAGTCTGCAGAGACTGATTCTGTGGGGACGTGCCCTCCCATGCCAGCCTTGCCTTCCCCATGCCTAGGGGACTGCACTTGGGGCCTCGGCAAATGTTCTGACATCAGTCCCTGAAATCACGGCATCAGCGTGACACTGTGAAGCTCAATGGGGCACATAAGGCAAAAAAGATGTTTAGTGAGAGGGGGACAGCAGGGTAGGGTGGGGGAGAGCCACGCTTCCCGGAGGCAGGGGTCTTGTTCCAGCATCATGCCTTCCTCTAGGTGGGTAACGGGTCATCGTCACCTTTACTGCACTTGCACTTGCAGCAAAGTACAAATGGAGTGGCCAGGAGCAGGAAAGGTGAGGCCACCAAGAGCAGGAGCCCAAATCCAGCAAAAATGCCCACGACCTGCAAGAAGGAAACACAGGAGCAGAGGGTAAGGCGGCTGGTCTGTAGGTTCCATAGCTAAAGTATAATCCACACAACCACCCACCCACCCATCATCCACCTGTTCATCCATCCATCCACCCATTATCCATGCAACATCCACCCATCCATTCATCCATCCATCTATCATCTCTCCAACCACTCATCCATCCATCCCCCCGTCCATCATCCACCCACCTATCATCTACTCATCTATCCATCCATTCATCTATCCAACCATCATCTATTTGTCTATCCACTCATCCATCCATCCATCTATCCACTCATTCATCATCCATCCATCCACCTAGCCATCCACCCAGCCATCCATCCACCCATTCATCCACCCATCATCCAACCATCCATCTATAGATCCACACATATTTGTTTCCCTGCACTTTCTTCTCCTCACTCCCCCTCCCCTCTCTTTTTTAACTTTTCTGTCCCTTCCCCTCCCTCCTTCCATGTAAGCACCCAAATATCCATCCATTTATATATCCAATTAACCAACAAGCTTCCCCTGAGCCAAACCCTGCACTAGGTGTTGCAAATACAGAGGCACATCATATCTTAGCCCTAAAGGAGCAGCCAGTCTGGTAGAAAGAGAAGTCAATTTAATCAACTGATAACAATACATTTTACAAAAACTGCCATTAGGTTCCAGATGTAAAGGAAGCCCAAGGGGCAGATACCTCCATTTGCTAGGGGGAAGGAGGGTTTCCAATGGGAGATGGCTGAGACTGTAAAGACGAGGACGAGGTTAGTAAACAAGCAAGACTTGGATAAGGCATTCCAGATAGGAGGACAGGAGAGGCACAGGCACGGTGCATCAGGGAGGGACCAGACCTGTGCCATTCCTGGAGTTTAAAACCCAACACTGACTATACACGCATTTTCATTTTGTTTTAAAACCTATGTTTACCCCCAGGTAAGAGTAAATGCTGAAAAAAGTAAGCCTCAAATCTAGACACGTTGTCATCCAAATCAGATAGTGTGGCTGGTCAGAGGAGCAGGGAGTCTGCTCTCTGAGTCTTCTCCATCAGCCGCATCCCCACCAAGCAACAGAGAGCCCAGAATCAAAACCTGAAGATGGAATTAGACCGCCACCTAGCGTTCAGAGCAATAAATATATGAACAAGCCTGGCACGTGGTTCTAATTTTGACTCTGTGTTCACTTTGCTCTGGGCCTCAGTTTCCTCAATGATAAAATAAACCAATGAGGTAAAAGATCCCAAGGGCTATTATCAGCTCCTAAATGAGATACTTAGCTAAAGCATCCCAGATGTGTGAAAGAAAGTATACTTTGACTTAGATTTCTGCCTGAAAACCATCACACACACACACACACACACACCCCTCACACACATGCACACACATCCAGTTGCATTTATAAATTAGACTGTGCTAATGCTAAGAATCCATGTTTGCTGCCCAGCTGGCTAAGTCCATTTGTCTGAGCAAAATATCAATGGTGCAATTCCACAGTGTGAATTCAGATTATGCTTTGTTAAAATCACATGCACACTGATATTTCAGAACACAAGAATACACACAGGAAGCTGTTATCTATCTGGAGGGCACTCTTGAGTAATCTCAGCTACTTGAAACACACTGAGTGCTGAATGAGTCAGGGACTCTTTGCAGTCAAAAACACACCAAAATCCTTGACCAAAAACTCATATTCTTGGCCAATAAGACACCACTGAGTTTTCACCCAGTCTACCCTGTCTCTTACCTTGCACACCAATTAATACGCTGGTTACCAACCTCCTGCCAGTCAGTGATAGGAGGACGCAGATACTGCCAGAAGGAAGGCAGCCAACAGGAAAGAGTGAGACGGGAAGCAAATATCACAGAACAAAAATAATCACTTAGTGGGCACGTGATAACTATGTGTCAGGCACAGATTACATACTGTGGGAGAGAGAGGGACAGGTACATAGTTTTAGGCTCCCAAGGGGATCGTGGTAAACATAGCATCATCCACACCAGCAAACCCTGATTTAAAGGAACGTTCAATCACACAGCCTGACTTTCTCAAACGGTACGCTACTTCTGGGCAGAACATACTGTGTGACAATTGTAAACCCCCTGCACAGCCTAGTGCCTCTCCCATAGTGAATGTCCAGTATATGTTCACGGGATGAACCAGCTGAATAGAAACTGGGCGTTCTGAATTCTTTCCCCCAGAGAGTTCTTCAACAACACTCATCCCAGGGCTTGGAAACACCAAGCCAAAATCAAAGATACAGTAAGGGGAATGGAACACCTCTAATTTCACTGAAACTTGGCATTTGAACATGGCATCAGTCTTTGTGGAGCACATGCTTGAATGCGGCAGAGGCTGGGACAGTGGCTGGGGGTAAGGGCCCACAGTCTCTGTCGGGGTGCGCTGGGGTCGGCTCGCAAGTCTCTCCCCAGTTCTCCATTCAGTGACATCACGTTGGCAGCTTGAGATAGCCATCGTGGGAGTGTTTACAGCACAGAAAGCAGCCAGTGCTACAGATTAGGCCCTCCCCCTCCTCCTCTAGCTATCATCACACCGCGGCTTGTGTGTGGGTTTAGAGGCAGGGGACTAAAGGAGACGGCAGCGCTGGCAGCGTGCCTCGTTTATAGGGATATTTACTGATTGACTGCTCCCACCTCTCTCTTCCTCACCCTTCTACAGAGTTCTTGTTTCCTCTGCTTAACGAATATCTGTTGTTCTGAACTGTATAGTACAAGGAGAATTAGGATCTGTTTTTGTCCTCTAAAAGAATGGGTTCCCCTGTTGGGAGGGGAAGGCAGACACGCAAATAATTACAAAGTTCTGCACAAATACAGATTCAAGACACTGAAGACAGATCCTGGGGAGTTAAGGACAGCCTCTTCAGGGAGGGAACGGGTCCAGCAGGAAGGAGTTAACCAGGTGCAGATGGGCTGAGGCACAATGAAGAGTGACTGGGGAGCTATCAGAAGTTGTCTTTGAGGATGTGAAGCTGAGTTGATGTCTGGAGGAGGAGGACCCAGGCAGAGAAAGCAAGGACTGGGGTACCTGTGCAGTGAGCCGGAAATGGGGTTCCGGGAACGGAAAGGAGGTGACATGGCCAGAGGGGAGTGAGTGCGGGAGGAAGTGGGGAATCCTGAGGTCACCCGGGTGTTTTGTTTAAGCAACACGGAAGTTGGTGATGCACTTCCAGAGATGAGGGAGACTCAGAGGAGGAAGATATTTTAAGAAAAAAAATCTAAAATTCTGCTCATGCATGTTCTAACTGAAATGCCCATTAGCATCCCAATGGAGACGCCAGCAGTCCGGGAGAGAAGTAAGCTGGGAGATCAATGGGGAAGCCGGGGTGGAAACCGAAGTGATGTGGACATAACCGTGCAGTCACAGGAGGGCCGTGGGAGCAAGGAATACACACACAGGGCTGACAGACGGCTCCCTCACTGCCATGGTCACAAGAGCTGGCCCCACCTCCCTATAAATGCAGAATAAAGAAATCTAACTAAGCCTGGATTATAACCCCTGTCCAATTTTCTCATTTCACCAATGCAAAATCTATGGCCAAAAGTGATTCCAAAGGTCCACTATTTAAGTCAGAGAGGACTGGGCATCCTAATTTAAGTACAAGAGACAACTAGTCCATATGTCACTGAGCTCAGTGACAAACACCCTCAACAGGTCACTGCACGAGGCTTCCAGGACATGAGCATTTCTGGAAGGAACTCCCGCTGTGCCCTGCAGCTCAACCTTCGGGGGTGTTTGTGGGCACACCTCCTCAGATGTGTGAATACATAAATCAGTAATTAGCAGGCTGTATTAAATGCCACCCTTTGGCTAAAAGAGAGCCCTCTCCTCACTGTGAGGTGGGCATAAGGGTGAAGAAGGGTCTCCTCACTGCTCAGAAGAGAAGGGGAACCAGTGGGGACCAGACTCTCCTTGTCAGGGGCTGGTGTCCTGAGGAAGGAGATTTACTCTAGCGGAAAAGAAATGTGCCTTTTCTCTCTTACACACGACAGCTGATTTCTGGAAGAGCACTGAAGAAAGGCAGGCAAACACCGCACAGCAGTCATGTTTGAAGTGAGTCTGTGAGAGGGCAGATGAGCCGACACACACCAGCAAGTCTGCAGTTAATAACTAATAGGACACTGCACACCCTGCGTCAGGGCCTTCCCCACCGCTCCGTGGTTTCTCGTGCCTGTGCGGAGAAGCATGTCTCTGCAGGAGATCTCTTATACAGAATAAAAATAACATCCCTTGGGACAAAACAGAATTGTCCAGAAACTTTACATGACAAGACATACAATTTTCCCATTCATAGCATGGTATCTTGTTAGAAAAGTCCATATGCAAAGGTGCCAGGTAAAACATATTTGACGTACATTTTTACTCCCACAAAAATATGGCAAGCAGCCTTACAATAGTCGCAAGGGGATGCACTAAAATTTTCAAAAATCTCTTAAAACAATTTTACCTAACTTCTCATCTAAAGGCAGGAAAAGCCAGGGAGCAGGAACCTGCAAAATCAACAAATTATACTGGGTGATCGATGACAACCCCGAAAAAGTGCGAGTCACAGGACACTGAATTTAGGGGTATTTCTTGAGGACCGTTGAGGCCTGAGTTGGGCAAGGCCCCCAGTGCAGACAGGAGCTTCTGAAGCCGACACCAGGCAGAAGCTCCAAGCGATGGCACCATCCATGCCAGAGGGTGGTGCCTCTGACCCATCTGTGGGATGATGAAACAACCTAGAGGTGAAGACGAGGACTTCAGTAAATCGAGTAGAACAGAAAACATGTAAGAACCGAGCAGGGAAGGTGCACATACGGGGTGTGCCTGGGTATCTGTGCGGGTGACAGGCTCTACACGTGTGTCTACCCATGGGCTGCAGTCAATAAAACTCAAAAGCCACCGCTCAGTACGTGCTCAGCCTGGGCTGGTTAGAGAAGGCTGACGGGAAGAGGAGAGGCAGGGCAGGACCTTAAAAATGGATGGAAGGAAT